CTGTGTGTATGTGGTTATACTCTCACCCTCATCCTTAGGTAGTCTTTTTTACTTGCTCACTGAAGAAAAACTACTACTACAACTAAAGTCAATAAGTAAATTTTTAGTTTGAAACCAGGAATTATGAAAAAAATCTTACATGGACAAATATTAAAAAACATTGCTAATGAACTTCTTGAAAACATTGACTTAAGTTCAGAGACTTTTATATAAATTTTAAACTTACTATATAATCTCTTTTCAATAACAATTCAGTCGAACTTAGCTTAATTGAATTTTGCTTGTAATTTTTAAACTACTACTATATCTAAAGTCAATAAGTAAATTTTTAGTTTGAAACCAGGAATTATTTTTATCTTAGAAAAAAGAGCTAACAGGAACAAATATTAAAAAGCATTGCTAATGAACTTCTTTAAAATATGGAATTTAGTTAAGAGACTTTTATATACATTTTAAACATTTAATAAGTCATTTATTTGAACTTAGCTTAATTGTAACTTTTGTTTGTTTTGCCAATAAATTGAGAAAATTGATGTGATGGAAATTTGAAATTTGATGTGATGGATGGTATTAGAGTACATAGCTGTTTCTATATTAAATTATAAAAAATTGTTCAACTTAAAGACTTAAAAGTATACTATTGATTAGTTGAGTTAAGGGACTGACATTAGTTTATTCTTTTTATTATTTACTTGTTTTATTCTCAGTGTAGGCTTGTGTTCTGAGGGACGAGAGGGGCAGAGGCCACAGCAGCTGTTGTTCTTGCCCAACTTGCAGCTCACACACGCCCCTCCGCCCACTTTAACCCTTCCCTGACCATCAGGCACCCGCATCGCCCGACTTTCAAGTGTGCTCGGGATGTGCGCGTTATGCAAAACTAACTTTTTCCATTATTTTCTGTGTGTTGCCGCCGCTGCTGCTGCTTTTGCTGCTGCTTCTGGTGCTGCTTGTGGTTTTTATTTATGGTCTATTTTTGTTTTCATTTCTTTTTTTTCGGTTAGTTACCCCAAACCCCGCCATGTAAATAAAAGCCAACTGCAAAGTTTTGACAACGCTTCTCTCGGTTATGCAGCAGCCGATGCCGCCTCCGAAAATTGGGTCGGCAAAAGCGAAATTTATGTCGCAGCCGCGTGCAAAGTGACAGCGAACAAATTGCCGCGACACAGACACTGAAACACAGGCGCACTGAAACTGCACAACAAGCCTTGTAAAATGTTGGTGAAAGTTTCCAAGCCGAGCGCTAATCAAGTGACAAGAGGGGCGGGGGGGTGAACGGATGCGGGAAAATCGGGTCTTCGAGTGCAGCTAATTTTCCGGATTTCCTGGGATGCACTCCTTGGAAATCTCCGTCTAAATGCGGCTGAAAATTCCCCCGGAAAGTTTTTCGAAGCAACTTTGAATTATTGATAAAATACTTAGACAGCATGTGTGTGTGTACGAGAGAAAGAGAGTTTTCCCAATTTTTCCCACAGACACTTTTAGCATACATTGGGCAAACAAATTTCCAACTCGCATGCACACAACTTATTTGATGCACTTCAATTCGTTGCCAGAGACAAATCCTGCAACTGCTCGAGGATATTAAAGGGGAAATGGGGGAGCGCAGACGACATTGATAAATGTTATTTTGGCCAACTTTTTTGTTGGGAGCGAACAAACAAAAATGGGTAAATTCCAGCCCACAACACAGAAATGCAATCGAACGAGAAAGCAAACACAGAACCTCACTGAGATCTAGATCCAAATCAAAATATTTTTATTCGACAGAAATGGGCACTTCTTAAGCTTGAAAAACGAACTATTTTTTGATATTAGCACTAAATTCTCCAGAATAACAAAACTGAGAAATAAAGCTCTGCGATAAAATTAATTATAACTTTTGTTTAAACGACTTTAAAGCAAAAATACTGATAGTAAATTGTCAAATATTTATTTCATAGAGACAAAAATTGTAAAATAATTATTTAACAAAACTTGTCAGATGAGCAATGCTGAAAACATCGCTTGTTAAAGACTTAGAAATGGAAAATTCAAGTAGAAAATCCATCTGGCGTATTGACGCGGCGAAAGTTAAACTTTCTAATTAAATTGGACGCTGGTCCCGACAACCTATCCCACCATGAGTTATTAAAAATATATTAAAACTGCTTCGGGAAAGCGGGTGGAAAGTGTTAAGCGCCAGCGGTTACCAGCATTTGTTGCTGTTTGTCGCAAAGTTTGCCCAGCCGCCGCAAAATTGAAGTCCTTGATGCCGAGTTGCCCCTTCCCTTCATTGTTTGCTGCCTCAAACTTTGCCGACGACTCCTGGCCATTGTGGCAGTCTTCTTGGCCAGCAGCTGCAGTCTGCAGTTTGCACTCTGTGATTGTCTGTGTGCGGCTGCCCCTTAATTTGCTGGGCCAACTTTGTCTAATCAGTGTGCAGCTGCTGGCAGCTTTCCTCAGATTGCGTATACGCGTCGTTAGCCCGCCCTCGATTCCCGGCATGTTACGTATAAATAGAAGCGCAGCTAAGCCTGCAGCCTGCAGCCTGCAGTCCTAAAATTAAGTTACAGTAAGGGGGCTAAGGTGACAATATTACACAGGGAAAAAAACTTCGGTGAACTAGTTATACAAATTTCAGAGATCAGATAATGAACTCAGTTCAATATTCAAGCTGTTTTCAAAAAGTAAGACATTTTTTATTATTGAAAAAGGAAAAGGAAATTGTTTGAATTCCTGAAAATGCTAGGACCAAAATTATGAAAGTAATTTTCAAATAGTATAAGTTATAAACTGTTTAGTAAAAAGAAAGTCTGAACCTAATTAGAAAATGTTGGTTTATTGAACTTTTATTACTCATTTGAAGGCTACTATACTCATTATGTCCACAATTTTTACCATATGCGTTGCCACACTTAAGTGGATCTAATGACTTCGATGGGGGCAGATAGCGAGTCTAGAGGTGGCACCGCCATCGCAAATAGATCGCTCGTTGGATTGTGGCACACGGCGTATGTGTGATATGTGTAATTCGGAGCCGTGTACTTCCCAGACCAGAGTCCCGCAAAGCAATTATAGTGAAATGAGCTAATAATATTCAATTTCAATGGGGCTGCCTCCTCAGCATTTTGTCAAAATGTCAACCAGCAACCAAACAATAACAGATGTCAAACTGTCACAGGGCCAGACGGATCGTCAGAGGGCCAACAGAGTGGAGGAGGTTGGCTACTCCGGGAATCGTGTGTCAATGGCTGGCACTTCAGTTGGGGTGGCCAGTTGCATTGTGGGAAAAAGTGCAGCTGGTCCCCGTGAAACGTGAAAAATTACAAGAGGAAAACGAACCGAAAACGATAATAGAATAGCAGCCCAGGTGGGCAGGGCAGGGAGCCATGAAAATCACTCAATTGGACGGCTAACTGACAGCCACACATTATCAAATATTAATGGAATGGTGGGGAGGTGGGTCAGCGCGGCTCATTGAAACCGTTTGTCCCCTCGAAAGTGGAACTTGAATGGGTGGTTGCCGGCGAACTTTGACACCAACGCCCCCTCAAAGTCATGGGAAATCAGCTGGAGGACACCCCCACGAATTTTACAGCCGAACATCTGGGCTACGGGTACACATGACTAGCTATAAAACGGGAGGCGCCGCGTCACACAAACTGAAGGGCTCATTTATAATTCAGCAAAGTAAAACATTGAAGTAATGAAATTACACCAGAAGAATTTGTCGACGTCGGCCAGACACATTTGCCCGGGGAAATGGAAATATGAGCTGGGCGAATAAATAAAAATTTAATGAAAGCACGTATACGCAGCATGGGCCCGGCTTTTGCATGCGTGAGGCATTTTGACAAAACATTTTTGTATGTTAGTCCTGGAGTTCTGGTGGCTCGGGAAAACGCAAATAATTGAATTTCTGTCAACGAAATTAAATTACGCCTGCCCTAAGCGCCATGCCACTTTAAAGCCCCTTAAAGTTGCAGCCATAATGCATTTTAAATTGCGCATAATTAAAATAAATGCAACAAATGATTTAAATTTATTATAATGCCAGCAAAAACAATGAAACCCAATAACAAAACACAGGAGGTGTTGTGAGGTGTATTTGTGCTCTATATATATATGTCTGTCTGTGTGCGTCAGGATGAATGGCAGATATATACAATAAAAGTTAATGACAATGCATAAAAGTTCATTACTGCCAGACACACAAACAAGGGGTAATTCAGACGGGCAAGATATGCCGCAATGGTGCATTGCAAAGAGGAAGGAGTTTCGAGAGATGGGACAATGGGGAATCCCGAATCAGACGCTTCCAGATACATAATACATGGCCCGGGCCATTACAAAAACCACCTTATCTATTTACCCGCCCCACCGCAAACAGGGGAAAAATAATAACAAAACGACAGCAATCAAAGGACACGGCAGTTACACAACAACTGACCACTAATTAACCTAATTTCTAGCCCAGCAATCACACTGAAAATGCGAACGTAGGTGGGCTTCAATCCAATCTAATGCTCAATACTCGGTTATGTTGGACAGATGGAACGATAAACCGCAGACAGAGTCCACCGAACAAATGGAAACCAATGAGGCCATTTATTTTTATGTTGATTATTTTGTATTTCCCGTTTTTTCGGTAATTATTTATGCCACCCTCTGGCCAACGCGACCCGGCTCAGGAAATTATTTCAATATTAATTCAAACAAAACTTTCAATAATCCGTAATTATCGACGAATGTAGATCAAATAATCACGTTTTAGTTGCCGCGCTGCAGCAGCAACAACAACAGAAATTAATTAGGGAAAAACAAAATGGGAATTATTTGTCATGACACCAGGACCTCCACATCCTGCCTGTGCGTTTTGTAATTGGCCTAAAATCGCTGGCTGTCATCGGTATAAATTGTACGACTTTTCCGACACGCGCCTATTTATTATACATATTTATGCACCACAATTAAAGATATCCTTTGGCTAACTTGGTTATTGATTTTTTCCACTTGCAGCCGGCAGTTCTGGTCCAAGGAGAAGGCAAATAAAACTTGAAATATATTGGCCAGAGCAAACAAAAGGCCACACAACACACACGCACACATGTGCTTTGTGTCCGAAATAAAATCACATAAAATGCGACGAAATCTGCAGCATGCATTAAACAACGAGCTGGCAAACATACAATATTCAAACTAAGTGAGCTCACAAGTCCGGCAATTCATAAGGAAACCCTGATAAGTCCTCGACTTGGTCCTTCGCACCGGATCCTGGAGAGATGCCGTCAATGGAACCCTGGCTGGGGGGCGATTCCTGGCTGGGGATGTTGCGGCTCCGGCTGCATAAATCAAAGTGAGTTGCACTGCCCCTATCTTGTTATTTGCTCTTCGGTTCGGTTTGGTTTGGTCTGTGAGAAATCAAATTAATTTCAAACTTGTTATAAACTTTGTTCGGTTCCGTTCTCTGCTCTTGGTAAATTTAGCGCAAGTTTTTCAATAAATTGGCACACACACAACAAAAGAAACTCGGCATAATAAGAGTCTCTATTGGCAAAGTTATTTTTGCGGCGTAGCTATTTATAATTTTTAGAAGAGAAAACCCCCTGAAAAACAGGACTCTTATCCTGCAGCGTTTGCTTAAACCTGACGAGGGTTTCCATTTTGAAAATGGAATTAAAAACGACTCCGCTGAAAGGTCTATTTGGGATTCCCGAAAATAAGTAGGAAAGCTCTGGTTTGGGGCACTTTTATTGCCATCGATTTGCGCCGAGTGCTCCGGAGAACGCTTTAATGGAAAGCCCTCTCGGCAGAATGTTATAATTATGAATGTTTTCCGGGGCACATGCGACTGCCAGGGAAAGTGGCTGTCAAAAATTTCATAAATGAAAAGCCATAAAAGTGCGACCGACCCGAAAAATCAATGCTGCCACAGCTGTGGGCTCCTTCCCTCGGTTCTTCCTAAGCCAAAAGTACATGACCAGCATCAATAAGTTGGCCGGCACACACAGCACAAACTTCGGGACAAACAGCTGCTCCTGTTCCTAGGATCCCTGAATTTATTGACACCCACACACACACACACACACAAACCTATCGATAATCACTGCGGCAACGTGCTACGAGAAATCCAGAGAAATCCAGAGAAATCGAACTGGACGCAGTGCAAATTCGAGGTTAATGCACAAATAAATCTGCCACAAATTGTTAGCCATCAAAAATCACGTTCCACTTGCAGGACGTTTCAAAAAGGAGGGGTTGCTATAGCGCAAAAATAATAATTATTAACGCTCAACTGCGTCGCAATCAACAACATTTTATCTGGCGCTGCCAAACAGTTTGCAACTTTTGCGGCAGAGTTTGTGTCTTAGTTTCGGGGTTTCGGTTTCGGTTGCCTTCACTTGAGTGTTTTGCTTTTTTTGTGAGCCGCTGTTGTGCTCCGATATCGTGAGCCTGCTAACTTCCGATTTCCGGCGTGCGCCGTGATTGAGCGCCGCTTTACTTCCTGCGGGGCGGCGCCATCGAGGACCACAAGGACACTCCGAGTCCTCCTGCCTGCCAGCGCCTGTTTGACTTCTGATAAACATATTATACACTCTTTAAAGGCAGGTTTTCTGGGGTGAGCGCTGAAACCCTCTTTCACTTGTTAGGCCTGCCCGTTTCTAGTCCTTTAAAGTTCGGTTTGGGAGGCTGATGACCAGAAATTAGGGGTTGGTTAACCCATTTTGACAATGCTGATTTGTCTACCTAATACAGCATACGTTTCGTTAAAAAAGAAAAGGGAAAATCGAGTTCCAAATGGTTTTTGGGTTTGCTTAAAAGTTTCCAAAATAATTTCCTAACTTTATTTAATACATAATATTTTTATATGTTTAGATATATTTTCTAGTAATTTGAAATATTTTCAGTAAATCAGAAATCAATTTGTCGTGTCCAGGAAAGTTTTTCGTTTTTATGGAAAATATAAATATATATATATTTAATAAAACAAACATTGTACATATTTAGAGTACTAATTGAGCATTCCCAGCATTAGGTTTTTCGATTTAATACTTTTAATTTTGTAATCTAAATTAAGTAAAACGTTTTACAGAGTAAACTGTATGCAAATCAAACCAGTAGCTTGTTGCTTACTTAAGTTTCTGAAATAATAAACACTTTAAAGGGGGCAAGGTACAATATATGTATGCCTCAAATTGGATAAGCCCTAACTGGCAGAATCTAGGTGTGGGCCCAAATGGGTTAAGGGTGGGGAAACCTTTTCCTCCCCCCCTTCCCCTACCCCTTCTGTCTGCGGGCATCAATGTCAGTGATTTATCACAAGGCACAGCGCACATAAATAAACACCAGCAGCCATCGGAGACGGAGTCGGATTTGCTGATACTTTTCTCGGGCTCCTTCGGATGTATTTTTTGACAGTGCGTTGCTTTACGCATCACTAGACTTATCCCGGGTCCCCAGTTGGGGATCCCCGTCCTCCTAGTTTCCTTTTCATTTGACGCTTTGTGCACTTGACTTCGGAGTCTCCTTCGCTGGCTTCGATTTGCTGCCTCTAACGACCCTCATTGTTTGACACTCGGCGTTGATTTTCGCCAGGCGTTCTGCTGCGCCATATCTCCGATATCGGGCCACCCCCCCTCACCATCTCCCCCTCCCGCCCCCATCTTATCTCCCCAGGATAATGGCGAAGCGCCTTGGCTGGCGACATTATTTTCACTTTATTGAAAACTTGTAGCCGAAATTGATTTTCTGCGTCTCCTGGTGGCGCGGCGGCACATTCCAAACGCCCTGGGAATTGACATGCCCACCCACCCGCGGCTTTTGTCTTCTGGCAAATTTATTTCGCATTTAGTTGAATACTTTCTGGCATTCGGCTTGCGAAATTCCGCATACATTTATTTTAAAGACTGTAATTTCGTTTTATTCTCATGCTAATGTGTCTGCCGCCCTGACTTGCATTTGTGCATGGGGGTTTTGCGTTTTTGGGGGGCGGGGTTATTAAGTATTTATTTGCGCACATTCCGGTGCTAATGTGTTTTTTGCGGCCGGCGATGAAAATGCAATTTTGTCTGGGCAACTTTTCTGGGGCATGCGAAAATCAATTTAAGCCCGAAATGTTCAGCTAATTGTTCCCGCAGTTCAGTTATTTCAATTTCATATCGTTGAGCGGGACAAAAAACTATTCCCAGTTTCCGCTGCAAAAAATGCAAATTCGCACAACACAAAAGCTTAATATCAATAAATTAATATTGATGTCCTGTCACGAGGCCCTTTATTGTACTCCCTTCGCAGTTTTTTGATACCCTCGAAACACCAGGAAGGGTTAGCTAAGTAGATAGTTTTGAAATGTATTATATTGTTTAACAAGTTAACGATTTGTTCACAAAATATTGGAAACCAGTGAAGGCAGTTTTTCCTGGTTGCTAACCTCCTATCATAAGTTTCCCAGGCTGACTTACTTAAATAGTTTAAGGCTCTAGTCTGATTTCGCTACTGGTCATCCTAGCTTCCATTTCGCCTCTTCTACTCACTTCGGTTATCTTTTTTTAGAATATTTTATTTAAATTCCGCCGTAGTCCAGCCCGGATTCTCCGCACCGGACCCGGCGAGCAGAACAATAAAAGCAATCAGTGCTTAAAAATCAAATTCAATTTGCGCATATTCAGCATTTTTCCGTTGTCCTTTTGTTTCTGTTTTGGTTTCTGTTTTTGTTTTATTTGTTGTCCTTGTTGTTCTATTGCCGTAGCAAGTACAAATTTTTTTTTTCAAAAAATTTATAACAAAAACGCTACCAAAAAATATGAATACCATGCGAGAGCAGGGCACATTTCCCAAGGACGCCCGACGACGAAGAGGAGAAAATGGAGTACTGGCAAATCATAAATATTCCCTGAATCAACAGAATATGATGAAAATCCATAAATCATTGTGGGGAGCGGTCCTCGGCGGAGTTGAATTGGGATTGTTGGGGGTTTTTCGCAGAGAGCGAGGCAAGGATTTCAAATGCAAATCAACTGTGTCAAAAACTTTCGCTGCCAAGTGCTCAACGGTAGAGGCAACTTTCTTCTTCTCCGCCGCCTTTCTCTCGGAGAACTGAGACTGCCACGCCCACTTGGGGCAGAGCAAACAAATAATGAAGATGAATGCAAACAGTAAAACACCAGGCAAATAGCAGAAGAGTTCTGAAGAGAGGACGCCGAGGAACTGTACAAAATTTAAGCAAACAATGGACGTAGTGTAACGAGGGGAGTGGGGGGTTGGAAAGGGGGTAGGGGGGTGTTCCACTCGAGTGCGAAAAAAGCGGCTTTTGTTTCGTTTTAATGCGATAATTTCATGCGCAAGAATTTAATGGAAAATTATTTCAGCTATTTTCATAAAATCCCCCACTTTGGCATTTCTCCTTCCTGCAAAAGCCGGTAAAAGTTCGAGAACCGAAGGAGCGAACTTATGCCGAGCACTGTGCCTGATTTTGAGGAAGCAGCAGAACAATGCATAGCACTATTGCATAGTTCCTTTCTCCTACTTATTCATCACATGAAATCAGAACTTGCATATTTGCTGTGCAGTTTTTGTATCATGGTTTTGCTACCTTAGCTTGCCAAAAAGTGAAAAAAAATTTTAAAAAAAAACTTTTATTAAAAACTATTGAAGTTTGACCCAATACTGTTATTTTAAAAAACCATTTTATTAAAGAGATTATAAAATTTGTGAAAGATAAAAAATCTCTTTTCTGAGCTTACATTTTTAAGCGGTCTTATCCATAAGGAATTATAATTTCTAAATACACACAAATACTGTTGCAGTTTTATACAAAGAAACTAAAACGCTTCTATAAATGTAGTTAAAAAACAAAGAGTAGAATGGGAAAACAAAAAAAGGCAAGAAAAAGGTGCAAATTTGTAGCACCTTTAAACTTTGTTGAAATTTCCATAGCAGTTGCCACACAGCAAGGACACCAAGAAGAAAAGCAGAAACAGCAGCAACTAAAATTCAGCAATAACTGTAGAAGGTGCCGGAAACAGAGAAAATGGCCACGAATGAAGCGCGAATTTGTTGCAGCTGAAGCTCTCAAATGGAATTTAATTGTCTGCTGCGATTTTGGCCAGCGTCTGAAGCGTAAAATTAAACGATGGCCAACTAAAATCAGGGTCCGAATCCTGTCCAGCTGAGCGGAACCCAAAAATGTTGGCCAGACCAACTTGTTGCTCCCCTTTTACACGTGGCTTTTTTTCGTGGTATTTTGGGAGGTCTGTCTTAAAGTCCTTCTGCTGCATCAGAAATTGTGATCACGTACGGCCAGGGAAATAAAACGAAATAAGGCAAATTCCCATCCTCAATCTCCTCCTCATATTTTTA